TTGCATTAATGATATATGTATTATATATATTATATATGCATGATTGAGGTATTAAAATAATAGTATAATTTTTAATCTCCAAAAAAAAGGGCGCGCCGAATGACGAATTACATTTTGGCGAAAAATGGTTTCATGGAAAATTAGCAAGAGGAAGAGAAGAAGCTGAAGAATTATTACGGCACTATTCCTACCTTGGAGATGGTACTTTTCTCGTGCGACAATGTGTTACATTTGTAGGTGATTATTGTTTATCGTTTTGGCGTAAAGGAAAAGTGAACCATTGTCGCATCAAGCTGAAACAAGAAATGGGTCAAACACAATATTACCTTATTGATACGAATTGTTTTGATAGCTTATACAGTTTAATCACTCATTATCGTAATCATCCACTTAGAAGCCAAGTAAGTATATTAAGAAATTGAATATATTATTAAAAAAGTATTTCAGACTTATTAAATTAAGAATAAAAATATTTATTTTAAAATAAGATTATGAGAAATAATAAATCTCTGTTTCTCTTTGATATATAGGAATTTGTTATTACGTTGCAAGAACCAGTGCCTCAACCAAATAAACATGAGGAGAAAGAATGGTGGCATCCTGAATGTACTCGAATTGCAGCAGAAGAGATGTTAAAGCGTATACCTACAGATGGCGCATTCTTAGTGAGACCTAGTGAAAGAGAAAGTAATTGCTATGCAATTTCATTTAGGTATGTTCTCTTAAAGCACCATGTATAATTTACAATTTGTTATATTAATTTCTAATTCTATTTTAATTAAACTGTATTGTTATAGAGCGGAAAAGAAAATAAAGCATTGTAAAATAAAATTTGAAGGCAGACTCTATACCACTGGAATTGTACAGTTTGAAAGCTTAGTTGAGTTAATTAGTTATTATGAACGACATCCATTGTATAAAAAGATTAAATTGAGCCATCCTGTTAATCAAGATATTATCAGAAGAATGGGATTGGTATGCAGTTAATTCTATAATTTTTTTTTTTTTTTTTTTTTTAATATATAAAGAAAAAAATGTGTCTAAGTATTAAAAATAATTAAAGTGTACATCATAATCGTTTCTTTTCTTTTTCATTTAGGATAATGATGACGGGTCGGTTTATGGCATCCCGGGTTATATGGATCCTACAAGCTTTACATCAAAAGTAAGTAATATAAGATAATACCAAAAACTATTGCATTTATGTGTGTGTGTGCATAATATGTAAATATTTGGATAGATATTTTATAACTATAGCTATATAATTTTAATAAGATAAATTATAATGTATTGAATTATTTTGTAAAGGTAACAGTTAAGGCTATTTATGATTATAAAGCTAAAAGAGAGGATGAATTGACATTAGTGAAGCATGCTATAATTACTAATGTCAATGTGCAACGTGGAGGATGGTGGAGAGGTGATTATGGTGGTAAAAAACAACACTGGTTTCCTGCTAATTACGTAGAAGAAATCGATGAACAAGAAAATCAGGGAGATGTAAGTCCCGAATTTTATATTTGATATCGTGTATATGAATCAGCCAAAGCTGTAATAACATGAAATTTTTTATATGTATATTGTATACCATATGTATTCTATCTAATACAAGAATATCTTGTACTTTTTAGTCGGCAGATTCCATGATGCTTGGTAGCTTGCAGAAAGGTTCATTAGATATCATGGGTGCTGTAGTAGAACTAACAGTAGGAGAAAGATCAGGTTTGGAATGGATTTTAAGGATACAAAACCCTAGTATGTGTTCAGTATTTGAAGTTGCTACACTATTGAAAGATACTGCATTAGAATGGATGTCAAGTATCAAAGAAACTGCACAAAATGCAAGTGTTAGGGTAAGTATGTGTGTAACTTGTATTGTACAAAATTTAGATATTATTCAATAGATGGATGATATACATCTCATGCATGCTTGCTTTTTTTTAGGAAAGTCAACACAAGGAAATGGAGAGAGCATGGAGAATAGCCAAGGAAATGTCTAATCTTATAGTATACTGTAGATCTGTCGCATTTAACATAGAACGAATAAGAACTAAGGGATTTACATTCAATGAAATGAGTAGCTTCCCGGAAACAAAGGCTGAAAAATTAATGTGTCAACAAGAAAATAAATTTTTTATAAAGTATCATCAGGTATACAAACAAAAGTGAAATGTTGAAACATATCAATGAAAATAGATCATTAAAAAAACAAATTATTTTTTTCATAGATTCAATTTAGCAGGGTTTATCCTAAAGGTCAACGTATTGATTCATCTAATTATAATCCTGTACCAATGTGGAATGCTGGTTGTCAGATGGTAGCTTTGAATTATCAGACTGGAGACAAATCGATGCAATTAAATCAGGCTAAATTTAAAGAGAATGGCAATTGTGGTTATTTACTGAAACCAGAATTCATGTTTAGACAAGATTTTAATCCATATGATAAAAATACGTTATATGGAGTCGAATCGCTTAAAATCTGCCTGAAAATTATTGGAGCTAGACATTTAATGAAATCAGGAAGAGGCACTGCCAGTCCATCCGTCGAAGTCGAAATTATTGGTGCGGATTTTGACTCTGGAACGAAATTAACAACAAAGACAATATGTAAATATATTTTGATTTTGAATTGTAATTTTATTAGCATATGATAATTTTATTAATGTATACGATTACAATAAATATAATTTTTAAACTTACAGCGGATAATGGATTTAATCCAATGTGGAATGAAACATGTGAATTTGAGATATTTAATCCATATTTTACTCTTATACGATTTTTAGTGCAAGACGAAGATATGTTTGGTGATAGTAATTTCATAGGACAAGCTACTTATCCAGTGAGTACTTGATTAATTGTATTAAAAATATTTATGTATATAAATATTTAGTATCAAATAGAGTATTTCTACTTATGATCTTTGTCTCAATGATTTTTGTTCTATTTTTTTTAGGTGCGTTGTTTAAGAACAGGATATAGAAGTATTCCATTAAAAAACATATATAGCGAAGATCTTGAACTTGCTTCTTTATTAGTACATATTAAAATTATAACATCATCGATAAGAAATTCCATCTAAAGAGTTATATTTCCTATATCGATAACAATCTATATATTTAAATTAAAATTTTATCTCTTATTGAGGTTTCTTGTTCAATATAGCTATACGTAAAATAGATCAGTGAAAAGTCAAATCTGCATTATAGAATACTCAATGTACAGATTGATGAAGATACCAAATTAGCATATCTGTAAGTATCTTAATTATATCTTGTAATTATATAGTGTTTTTTTTGTATAATTATACATAAATCAGTATTAATTTTCTACTCATATGTAAATAGAGAGATATATATAAGTATTATATTATCTATATGTTTATTTTCTACAGGTAACATAAAAAAGTATCATGAATAAAGTATCATGATATATATGTCACAATATAGTATACAATGGCATAAAGGTAACATATGTTAAATCAAACATATCGTTAGAAGACTGTATATAATTATATTGATCTTTGACAAGTTAGCTATATAGATTATTATAAAAATTTATTAGAAATATTTCTATAATTGGGTATGAAATAAAGCAAAGAAGTGAATATTCTGATGCATTCTCTAATTGAAAAGAGAGAAAAAGACAAAATAAATGATGAAATGAATTTAAAAATTTATTAATTAAAAAAATGGCTATAATAAAAAGTAGAAAGACAATATGCGCAAACGTGATCTAGAATAGATAGGTTTTATGGCTATGATACATATAGATATTACTCTGGTTGAACCTATAATGTATTTAATTTTTTTCTATACATGGTGAGGTTTTTAATAATACATACATAAATATATATACACACACAATTGGTAAACATATTGATTTATTATATGTGTATTTGAGAGAAATAATTTTCATTACATATCGTGTATAATGACTGAACAATCTTTCTTTATAATAATTAATTTATGAATTTATCATATCTTATATTAGTAATATTAATATGACTGCTTAATATTGATTGGAAATAATATGTTGTATGTGATGAAAAAAATGTTTAATTAAAACAAAGGAAATGTAATAATACAACATAAACACAATTATATCTAGTAGTATCATATTATGGATGTGCAATGTGATTGCATTTAATGTGAAATGAGGTATTACATATTATATTTATTCAGTTCACTGTAGATTTTGATATTGTATTGTGCAATAATAGTGAAGAACACATATCACATATGCTTGCCTACAATCTATGGCTGTCAGTAAAATTATAGTATAAATTTACTCTGATGCAAAGCTAATGTTACTAATAGATATATTTTACACGTCTGATTATGCTAGGTAGAAACGCACAAAACTTTTTAAGTTAAAATGCATAGACATCATCGATGACAAAAAAATAACATAATGCATTCAACGCGATACTATTGTTACGACGCAATTTACTTTTCTTACAACTGATAAATAATGCTCAATTAATTCAAATGTCAATCTTTTTCAATTATGTGTGATAAGTGGATATTTTTAATATCATTCTGTCATGGGTGTCTTTGGCAGAAAATGTCTTCCTTAATAATTGTACATGTATAAAATACGTATATATATATATTTTATTATTTACAATATTTACACCGGTGTCTACCAGTAAAGCTTTCCCGACTGTAGCATGCTAGAGGCGCTAATATTGCAATTTTATTACATATTTTGAAATTGTATTGCATATGTTATATTATCTCATCTTAATCATTGAGTGTTTCAAAATACATATATTATTTGTACAATGAATTTTAACAATGTACGCGTTCACTGTGCCTGTACTTTGTACTATGAGCGATAGGATTAGACATATCTGTTGAAAACAAATGCATAAGAAATTCTATATAATAAATTTTGCTTTGTTACAAATGTGACTAGGTATATCGATCTAGATAGTTCCGCATCGTATTATATCGGTTACAAATAATTTATGAAAGAGATGGAAGAAAAATATGAGTGTAGATATATTCTTTATTCTATTATTGTGGTATACATACAGAATATAAGAAATAAATTTCTATATGCGTTTAATTCTTGTATTTTACATACAAAAGATCTTTAGCAATGAAAATAAAGATAAAAATAACAATCATAATTTTTGTAATTGAAACATAATGTATATAATATATATATGCGTGTGTGTGTTTTAAATTACACTTGTATATAGTCATTTTTTTACAAAGTTTTTTTAAGATATTCGTCAAACAAAAATACGGAAACGGATGGATCGCGCTCATCCAATAACTTCTTCAAGTCATTTGAATGACCTGCCAGGTCTCTTACACGCTCGGACAATGATTCCGTGAAGTGTTCCTCAATATAATTAGCGATATCTGCATCCTGCATCTTTGTGTGATGTTGCACTTGAGCATGGATACGTAACGCTTCATTGGCAAGTTGCTTCTCGCTATCGAGCGCTTTAGCAAGACTGTTCAATTCGGTCAGCTCCAAAATTTTACTGTCCTTGACCTGTAAATAATGATAATATCAATATCAATACCTTTTTTTCCCATAAAAACAAAACGAGTGGAACAAATAGATGATATTTACAGATTTCTTAAAGCGAGGCAGCTGATTAAAGTCCATCCTACCACCTCGTTTTGCAATGTATTTGATCAAATCTATCGCATCTGCCCATGATTGATCTGAAAGTTTGCGATACAATCCTTTAAATCCTTCTCGATTCGCTTCATAATTGCCGAAATGTGTGGACATCAGCAAAAATTCGAAACTGGTTTCAATATTAGCATTTACAAATGCTTGTAGATCAGGTTGATATTCTTCGATAGCTCCATATTGGGCATTACAGTTTATTATTAATCCGCCATCTGAAAGAATGTATTCTTCTCTCAAAACTAAATATAATTTCATTGAAGAATTACAGCTAATTTTTTATACAAATCAAAAGTCATGCATTTTTTTTACATTAAAATTTTATTCTGTTCAACAAAATGATATAAACACAATATTTCCTTAATATTATTAAATTGTTCTCTCTTATAAAAAATTTATAGTAGAATAAATATCCACATACTTTTAGGATTAGTGCCGCAAGCACTCTCGACATCGCTGTAACAATATTCTGCAGAGGCAGTCAGCAGAAAGATAGACAATATTCCCAAAAACAACATCTTTGCTGAAATTCAATACATTATAAAAAATTAAAACAAAAAGAAAAATATAAATCTATAGGCACAAACATATCTATAGATTGTTTCATGCTCCTAAATTAGTTTTAAATTAAACTATATCTACATCTCTCTATAGATATAGATTAGACTATATATCCCGTATAAAGATATCAGAAACTGATAAAAAAAATTTTCAGCTTTAAGGATATTGCAATTAACTTTTCTTACTTAGAATTTATCTCGCTTTATAAAAAATATTTTCCGATTAGATAAATACGAGAATAACACGAAAATAATATGAAAAAGTTTCTATTTACGATGTTATTCGGAAGAAGTCGAAGCAGAAAAACAAGTAATGATATGCGTCACGATTATAATCTCAAATGCAAAATAAAGGAGCTCAAAGAGAGTAGCGGGATCGCGATCAAATTCGGGATCATTCGTAGATTGATCACGAGATAACGATCAAAGATCTTTGCGAAAAAGAATTTACATGCTTTGTATGAGTGATTGTTCGAGTGACGAAATTCGTGCACTTGACGAAGTTCGTAGCATTTGCGTCTTGCGTCTCGTGCACACACACACACACAAAAATGAAAGAAATGCCCTCGACGGGCGCATATAATATATTCTTATCTACGTACGTCTGTGGAAGTAGTATTATCGGAGTAAGTTCTCTTGAATATATATATATATATATATCTCTCTCTCTCTCTTGCCGTGATCGGTCCGCAACGTTCGATGGGAAGCAACGTGAATACTCTCGCTTCGACGTTCCTCCAACAATGAACATTGCCCACCGCGGACACAGCACTTTTCACGAAGTCATAGTCAGCTGATGATAGGAGGGATTGAGCGACAACGCGCACGCGCAGTCGCTGCGCGCGCCACACATCGGGTAGGCGAGAGGGGTGGCGGGAAGTGAATGGGAGAGAATCCAAGGGTCTTTCCCTCTCCACCCCGTGATTAAAGTACGAACGTCGCGCGTTCGTCAGACAATTGTTGGGTGATCGATGACTGTGTAAGAAGCGTTTAGCCGTACTCTTATCTACGTACGTGTGTGGAAGTTGTTTTATGGGAGTAATCTCTCTTATATATATATATATATATCTCTCTCTCTCTCTTGCCGTGATCGGTCCGCAACGTTCGATGGGAAGCAACGTGAATACTCTCGCTTCGACGTTCCTCCAACAATGAACATTGCCCACCGCGGACACAGCACTTTTCACGAAGTCATAGTCAGCTGATGATAGGAGGGATTGAGCGACAACGCGCACGCGCAGTCGCTGCGCGCGCCACACATCGGGTAGGCGAGAGGGGTGGCGGGAAGTGAATGGGAGAGAATCCAAGGGTCTTTCCCTCTCCACCCCGTGATTAAAGTACGAACGTCGCGCGTTCGTCAGACAATTGTTGGGTGATCGATGACTGTGTAAGAAGCGTTTAGCCGTACTCTCTTATCTAAAAGCTCTGACGAAGGCAGCCTTCTATACCAGTGCGTATAAAGGTTGCTTCTGAGGCGAACGATCCGCCACGCATCCATCCAGCCAGCCAGACTCCTCGACTCATTATTTTCGCTTTCCTGAAACTACATAACCTCTTCACCCGATTTCGTAATCGAACAATGAAGCTGTTTTGCGTCTTCCTCATCGCCCTGGCCTGCGTCAGCGGTACATTCGGAGATGGGCTCAAGTGTAAGTTATTATTTTATTTTCATCTTATTTCCGTCCGTCGCGGACAAAATATTACAAATTTAAATTTATAAATACAAATATATAATTTATACAAGTATAACCATTGCGTATTGGTTGTATATGTGTTGTTTATCTTCCTTTTGTATGTCTTTCTCTCTTTCTTTGTTCTATCCCCCTCTCTGCAACACAGTTAATTTACAGACACGCGGTATCACGCACATCGAGACGTAGAAACGTGGCGTCATTCGAGTTGATATTCGACACTATCCCGTATCTCCTTTTCTCCGCCTCTCCGATATGGAAAACATGATTTCGTTCTATTAGTCATCATCATTTTTCGTTCTTCCTGTCCCAACTTCGGAATCAGGTACAAAAAAAAAAAGAATACTGAGTTTGTACGAAGCATTCCATGTTTGCTTCAGAGGAAATAGAATACTACACATAAAGTCAATGCGACAATTACTATGGTTTATTTTGATTCAGCAACCTCTGGATGTTATCCAAGCTCTTTCAATTGATCAAAATATTGAATGATATTATGAATGTTTATTTCTCTGGTATCAAGACTCATTAGTAAAAGGAATCGTATTATCGTTTGTTGTAAATATTTTGCACAAATGTGAGTTTCTGTGACAGAAAATCGAAATCTGCTGTAACAATTTGATCAATATTTTCATAATATATGCATATATGTATAAAGATTTCAATCATGTTAATTTATGAGACTTTCCATTTTAAAACTACTATTTGCCAAAACTTTTATTTTTGTATATGCTATAAAATGTTAATACTGCAACTTTAGATTGTTTTATCAAGTGTATATTATTAATACATTAATGAGTCTTCTTATTAGAAGAGCAAAAATCGATAAAATGTAACTATTATAATTTGAAGAATAATCTTTGACCCTTTCTGATTTATCCATATCGGATGATGTTTGTCACTTTAACAAAGCCTTGTACAATTGACTGAGCAAGTGATGAAATGTATGACGCATATACATCATAAACTAACTGCACATTAGATTATGAAATGCTAATGAGTTGCATTTAATTTATCAAAGCTTAATTGCAAGGACAGTATATAAATGTACTTAATTATAATAATTAACAAAATCTTTTTCATTTTTATAATAAATTAAAGAATCAATGCAAATATATTTTAATAACATATAATCTCTCTCTTGCAGTTATATTCATTTTCAAAGTCAGTAATAACGCATTTGCTCTTTATGACATATATCTCAAAATAATTTCCCATATTTCATTATTCATATCTGCATAATTTTTATGTATGGATTACACGATTTTATCAAATTCTATTTTTATGACCTGATTCAGTATTTATCTCTTTATGAAATAGAAATGAGGATTAAGCTAGAATTGCTAGAGAACATCAGTTGCAGGAAATCAACATCATTGTCATTATCAGTATATGATAACGATGTGACTATATGGTCACTCAAGTACGCAGTTGCATGAGCTTTGTTCCCTGGCTTGTAACAATATGCGTATATACATATTTCAAATATTATATAGAGCTTGATAAACATAATTTAAGTCGACAATCGGTTTTATATGAAAATTTATTAAAGTAAAAGAGAGAGAACGCGCAATAACCCATTCTCTTCATTTCATTTTGCTATGTATTTATTTAAACGAAGGATAATTTACTATTTTATACACATAAAGAGAAAAATAAAAATAACATTGCTTGTGCTTTTTGTACAATTGATATAATTTTCAATTTCCTTATATAATATAATAAATTTATACATATATACATATATAAAATGTAAATTATAATATATTTGTACATATAAAATGTAAAATTTAATTTTAAAATTTCATATTGCAGTTCCCTATCAGTTACTTAGAAAAAATTTTTCTTTATAGATTGTTAACAAAAAAAGATCATATATATAATTAATACTTATCACACATGTATGATATATCAGCAAATTAAATCTCTTCATCACTAATCATCTTGTTTTGTACAAAGATAATTTTTAATGAAAAGTTGTGGGATGGCATGTATATCTCATACACATTAATAAAAAATAAATCCTTTTCCATCTATAAAATTTTTTATACACTAGTTTCAGTAATTTTTTTATGATTAGTAATCATTGTTCTAATATTCTTTTATATATTCTATAATACAACTATATGTAAGAAACGATTTAATTGCAATATAAAAATACATATATATTTAATTATACATATAACTAATATCTCACATCAATTTTCTAACATGTAAAACACGTTTTATATTAACAATTAATTTTTTTAAATGTCTTAAAATTTTAAATATATTAATATAAGCATTAATAATAAATAATGACTCTGGATAATCTACATTTTATAAATACATCTATACGTACAATTATAAATAAAACTAAAAGTCTCATGTAATAAAAATTTTTACTTTTATAATAACAGTTTTGTCTCTTTTATCTTAATTAAATAAAACTTTATCTTTATATAAAGATGCTATCGGCAGTACGACTGATCAGTCACGGACTGATAAAGCATTTCATTTTTTGATAATATATTGATAAAATAAGAAATAATAGAATGTTCTTGTTATCTATTGAAGATGGATTACACAATATAATGGAAATTTCATCATAAGCAATAATTATTATGAAGTCTTATTTGTATAATAATTTATTTTTGTATAATAATTAAACAAAATTTTCACTTTACTCCTTTTTAGGTACACTTAAACTTGCCGATATACCAACATCATGGATAGACATGGTTGATCCATGCATAAAAGTCATGGAATCTCAAGTCAAAATCGAAATCGAAGCAGCTATGAGATATCTCGCAATGGTACATAAATCCTAATTTGTTTATATATTGTTTTAATCCCTGATATACAATCGCTATAATTTATTAAATTAATATAAAAATTTATATTACATGTACATGTAATATGTTTTTATAGGGCGCTCACTTTGCACGCGATACTATTAATCGCCCAGGCTTTAGCAAATTCTTCCTTGAAAGCGCAGGCGAAGAGAGGGAGCATGCAATAAAAATCATCGAATATTTGCTAATGCGTGGACAACTTACAAATGATGTTAGCAAACTTCTTAAGTTTCCCTTGGTGAGTATTTCTCTTGCAGGCGCTACACAAATATTTTAAGACGAAATTATGAAGAAATAGATTTTAAATAATATTACAAATATTAAATATGATTTTTCTTTTTGTTTTATACAGAATAGCAACAATACGCATCCAATACGCCAAGAATGGAATAGCGGAGAAGAAGCTCTCGCTGATGCTTTGAAATTAGAAGCGCAAGTCACTCGTAGTATCCGCGATATTATCATAAATTGCGAAAATCCAAAGACATATTCTTTCAATGATTATCACGTGAGTATTGTGATCAAAGTAGAAAAATTGATTTTGTGTAGAAAATAATATTCATTGTCAACGTGATTTTTTACAGTTGGTGGACTACCTCACTACAGATTTCTTGGAGGAACAACATAAAGGACAACGCGACCTCGCAGGTAAAATCTCAACTTTAGGAAAAATGATGCAAGCGCACGGACAGTTGGGAGAATTTTTATTTGATAAAAAATTGTTGAATGGTGAAATCTAAGTTTTGATGATCGAAATATGTTTAACTCGAAATACTCTTTTATATAAATAGATGTTTATAAAAAATCGTGATGGCCATATTTAGAATATATATTAATACATCGTAACATTATTAATTTACATTATTGCTACTATGCACATTTATTTATATTTTATATGAATAATGTGTAATAATTTTTATATAGAATGTTTTTTTCTAAACATGGCTTGAAATATTATAAGAGTATGTCGAGTAAAATTTAAAATATTTGTTAATTCATAATAAAAAAATATATTATCCTTGATAAATAGGCATTATTATCCTTGATGAATCAACATTATTTTATAGATGCTCATATTATTAGTTATAATTTTTTTACTCGTAACACCGCGTTTTCTCTGACTAATTTGCATTATAACAAACTGAAAATAGCCAAAATTGATTTATTTTTAAAAATGTAATTATTAATGATGTATAACTTAGAATTATACATCATTGCTTCGTAATTAGCGTCGACAATCAAAAAATGAAATTCAAATGAGAATTTTGTTACTATATCAGTTTGTAATCCAAATAACCGAAAAGACTCAATATTTCTTGATTCCGCCATTTTTGACCAAAAAGAACCTCAGCCAATCAGTAAAAAGTCGAGTTTACTCTAGTCGACCTTATGCTTGACTTTAAAATTATTTATGCTCTTGCACGTAACTATCGCGCAAACGTATCATCGGTAATCATGTCTTTTTCGAATCAGCGTAGACATAGGCCAATTAAATCCGTAGAAAGATAGCTGACACATGCATAGCGTGGTAAATAAACATACAAAGACAGATATATGTTGGAACAGCGAAAATCAGTTATGGGTCATGGTCCTTCCAGTATGTATATATTCTAAACAAAGTCTATGTATATATATGTATATATTCTAAAAAAAGTCTAAACTCTCATTTAAAAATTTCTGATACGAAACAGTTATATAGGTCTGTTCGTTTTGTTTGCAGTTTTTATATTCAGATTCTCTTCGCTCTCGTTCTCTCTTTCTCTCTTTCTTTCTCTGCAACGTCCGAATATATATTTATTTTATTTCAAGTACAAAAAATTCTAGGAAATACAAGCAAAACAAATGGATTTCATTTGAAATTATAAAGCCTTATTCAAATTATTTTATTGATTAATCGAAAAAAATCTTTATCTTTTTTGATCGGTCAATCAAAAATTGATTAGTCAATCTTCGACTCACCAACCAAATATAAAAAATTCCTCTATACAAACAGTTCGTGTACTAGTTACATATAAAAAAAAATTCCTAGATAATTATCGGATCGCACATAATTGTGGAATGAAATATATTTGATCCGCTTTTTCACGTTTTATATTCTTTCTTTTGAAATTATTTATATCACTTCTAAGATACATTCAGATCTTTATGGATGAAAAATGCTAATTATATCGCGAACGCCGTTTGCGCGATTTTCAAATTTAACGGAATTACCGTTGTGAAACTGCGGTTTTCCCGCGACCAACTTCAGGGGCGGTGTAGTTTAAGTTTGTTGAAAACCTCATATATGGGCAAGCGCGGAGTGCGATAGGAATACGGATATTTCTCGCGTAGCGATTCTATCGAGGCAGAGCGTGATGTTTTTCACAGAGTATGTAGACCTTAACGAAGCGATATACGTCTCCTCGTGGCGATGCGAGGATTACATTTCGATGTCGCATGCAAACTCCTAATCCCGCGGGATAACCTAAACATCTCACGAACGTCCGTCTATCCCCGGACGGGTATCGATTGTCAAGTTCAGCGTTTCATCTTACCTTTTCAGATCGCGTATGCGTTGTGCCCTTCAACGGCCATGAATTGTTTTTGACTTTCTTCTGGAACACTGCCAAATTCGCGCGGACGCCTTTCATCGATTGCAGCTCGATACCATGGCTCTACGTCGTGGAAAACGTAATCTGAAACTGCAGGTCTCCGACGAAGCTCCCGCACCAGTGTATGTAAAATTGTGATGGTACCTTTGTCGAACACAGCGATGTTATTGTCTGTTATATCTATATACAAGACAATCCTTTGTACTTGTTATGTGATATTTGTTATTAAAAATTAAAAAGAAGATATAAATAATATTTGAAAAAGTAACTTTTATACACATGATGTATTTCAAGAAACGAATGTATTTTTCCTATTTATATTTTGTGAGTTTATTCTTTCTTTAGGACACCACCAAGGAATTTAGATAAACGGACTACTATTACAATAGATGAAAAAACGTTTGTTGTTGAAGCAGATGATTTAGAAACCCTTTGCGTCCTTGGTCGTGGAGCATACGGAATTGTTGATAAAATGCGACATAAACAGAGTGGTACAATTATGGCTGTCAAGGTAATATTATAATAATTGTAGTTTTGATATATAAGACAATATATGTAGTTATTTTAAAAAAAGAATGTACAACTGACATTTATTTACAGAGAATAACTGCAACTGTTAATACACAAGAACAAAAGCGTCTGCTTATGGATTTAGACATTTCTATGCGTAGCTCAGCATGTTCCTACACAGTACAATTTTATGGAGCCTTATTCCGAGAGGGAGATGTATGGATATGCATGGAAGTGATGGATATGAGCCTTGACAAATTTTATACAAAAGTATATAAACATAGTCGTGCTATTCCTGAAGATATTTTAGGAAAAGTGGCTTTTGCGGTACATATATTAGTCATATTTAAACATTCACTAATATTACAGAATAATGTGATTTCTTTTTTCTTTTGTTTTCTTTTATGTTATTAATTTATTTTACAAAACACGTATATTCTTGCACTAATACTTGCAGGTAGTAAGCGCATTACATTACCTCTACTCACAATTACGGGTAATTCATAGAGATGTTAAGCCTAGCAATATTCTAATTAATCGGAAAGGTGAGGTAAAAATTTGCGATTTTGGTATATCTGGTTACCTCGTGGACTCAGTTGCCAAGACTATTGATGCTGGATGTAAACCATACATGGCTGTATGTAGATGCAGAAACTTACTCTTTGAAAGATTCCATCAGTGTTCTCTCAATACATTCTCCACCATTATCTTTTTTTGTAGCCAGAAAGGATAGACCCATCGGGTAACCCGTCGCAGTACGACATCAGATCCGATGTCTGGTCATTAGGAATTTCCCTTGTTGAATTAGCCACTGGTAAATTTCCATACGAGTCGTGGGGCACGCCGTTCGAGCAACTGAAACAAGTGGTGAAGGATGATGCTCCAAAATTACCTGCTGGCAAATTCTCTCCTTCGTTTGAGGAATTTATCAATAAGTGGTAAATGATAATACAATAGGATTATTTCTTACTTTCAAATAGCATATGGACGCTTTCATGTATAATCCTTTCTGTTTTCAGTCTAATGAAGAATTACACTGCCCGTCCAAATTACAGTCAATTGTTAGAACTCAACTTTATTAAGGAACATGCTCAGAAGGACACAAATGTGGCAGAATTCGTCGGGGAGATTTTAGACTTACCGGAAAACGAGCCGGTATAGTACATACATTATTTTGACATAGCTTGCAATATAATTTGACTTGCAATTTATATTTTTGCAAGATAGTCACTTAATGGCATCCTCATATGTAATTTATATTATCGATCATTCGATCCATTGTGTATCAAGACGTAACTGGCACTTGAATGATTATTTCTTTATTTATCATCGTTTTCATATTAATTTTTATTAATTATCTATTATAATTATAGCATCTAAAAGTTTGGCTTGAAAATAATTGTCTATTTCGATCCTAATCTTATTGAAAAGTGTTCAATTTGTTATAATATCATATAATATATAATACACAGATGTTTTTTATATATGATAGAGAGTAATATAAGAGTTAGCATTCATGGCATTGTGGTAATACAATAAAGAAGTAATAATAACATTATCGATATACACATTTTTAGAGAAGAGAAACAGATTAGAAAAAAGACCAATATATATATTACAACATTGAAAATTGTACATAGTAATCAAATAATCCATGATCAAAATTTAATTTATTTTTCTATTTAAAATTGTTTCACATTTATTAGTGATGAATTGTATTGAAGATTATATTAGTTATAGGGATTGAATTTTGTGACATGGATGTTGTATGCATAGTATATATATAATTAATATTATATAGTGAGAGTGTCTCTTGTGTAGAACTCTCTTTGAGATGTTTTTTTTTCTATATATGATCTAGCATCAAAATGTAATAAAAATTAATCTCGAATAAACGATCGTTTTTAGTATGAAAAATTCAATCTCTTTAAAATCAAACTAAAAAAAAAAAAAAAGTAAAAGAACTCGCAACTTCGCAAAATAAATTCTTTATGAGAGAAAAAAATCTTTTTACAGAAATTTTATTTTCTTCTAAAGTATGTTTTAATTTTTCGTAATCAATCTTATTAAAACACCCAGAGAAACCTGTGAAACAAAAACTAAGAAATATTCCTATATATATACATATTTCTCTCTCAAACAGTTCCGTAAAATCAATTTTTCTTTCAGACTAATAACCATATTCAAAAAACAAAGCGCAAATGTAAAATTATATGATAAACGTAAATTGCTAAAACTGTCGCATGTAGTGCATTTCAATTACATTGTATTGTGTTAGTTCGAATATGATCTAAAAATTAAAAAATGCATTGTATACCGTTGGCTATTCTAAACAATCGCGCGAAATGTTTTCTATATCCAAAACTATGGTCGGGAAGATAGATGTTTCGAAGCATTGCACTAACCAATCAGGATAAAAAAATCTTTTACCTTTTTATCCTGATTGGTCAATCAAATACTTCGAGGCATCTTTAGCGTCTTACCTACCGTAGCCATAGACATAAAATACATAGACGGATGGCTTTTATTCGATTAAAACGTTTTCACGTGTCACAGACGTTGCACGCAGACGCGTCAACGCGTTATGCCCGTATCAGACTACGCATTGAAGATTGAGATTAAAGATTAAAATTTGACCAATCAGGACAAAGAAGTTTTAGTCCCTTTTGTTCTGATTAGTCAAATTCCAATCTTTAATCTTCAATTCTCAATGCGTAGTCTGATATGGGCTTTATGGTCCTCGCACACTGGACGCGATGGGCGATATCCAATGAGAGCTCTGCTTTTCCGAAAAAAATAAAGCTCTCATTGGATATCGCCCATCGTTCATCGCTCATCGCGTCCAGTGTGCGAGGGCCATTACGTGAGAGAAGAAGCGACGTGCAAGCCAATCAACTTTTCGCTTTTGGATAAATTGTAAGTCGATTGGCTATCGCGCCGCTTAAAGCCCGTTCTACATTGATCGCATGTCGCCAGTCGCAAGCTGCACATTGCTGCATCCTGTGTGCAATTGCCCTAAGTTTGGCCACATTTAACTTATTCTGAAACTTCCGTTTCCTTCTTCATCATTCTCCATTACGGCGTTCTACTTTGCTGAGGTATGTTCGAGGAAACGTGTATTATTTCTGCAATATGTTGTAAAATTTATATATTTTAAATTACTTATCTTCCAGTCATTAGATACTGCATATATATGTATCATTTTATATAAAAATAAAAAATATATACTAAATAAATATCTAAACAGAGTTATATATCGGTCGTGAGGTTAATGAAACCATGTGGTTTTGGATAGTTAAAAATATGTTTTCTTCTTATTATTTGTTGAATTTTAAGAGATTTTAACCCATGATGATCGTGCCACTGAAAATACGAGGGGTTCACTCAATTCCCTTTGTGGAATTGCCCTCGTATTTTATGAACGAATTTATTATAATCTGAACTAAATATTAACATCATTAGTTTTCGTTACTTTTTTAATATATTAATATAATCTCGATTTTTATTTTAAATGATTTTCAGTCCTTAAATTCCCGCAAGGTATCCCTACGCACGTGTCACGATGGGTAGGGAGGACAAAACAACGTGGAAGTCAAATTACTTCACTAAACTTGTTGTAAGTATCTTTTTTTGCATTTACATGCATAAGTTATATGAATGTAGACATAAATTATTTTGAAGTGCGCCAAGAGTAGAAAATGTATTAATTTCTAATGACAAATTTTATGGAATATGCAAACTTAATATAATTTATGATATTGCTTTCATTATATATATATATATTACATTTTAATTACTTTTGAATTAAGGATGAAAATATTCAGCGTCTGAAGATCTTGGTTCACGTATTAGAGCTAGAAATAGCTGAACCCACTAATGCGTCAAGATCATGGTTGAAATATTGTGTGAAGACACAGTCTGAACTCTATATAATAAAATACAACACATACACATACATGCGCTCATAAAATATAATGAGTTTTCTTTTTTATAAATATATCAGCAACTGTTGGACGATTACCCCAAATGCTTTATTGTGGGTGCGGACAATGTCGGCTCAAAACAAATGCAACAAATCCGTATGTCATTGCGTGGAAATGCAGTGGTACTGATGGGGAAAAATACAATGATGAGAAAAGCAATTCGGGGTCATATAGAACGTAACGTGGCACTGGAGAAGTTATTACCTCACATTCGTGGTAATGTTGGATTTGTTTTTACACGAGGGGACTTGATTGAAGTGAGAGACAAATTGCTGGAAAATAAAGTACGCGCTCCTGCCAGAGCAGGAGCAATTGCACCTTTAAGCGTCATCATTCCAGCCCAAAACACAGGGCTTGGTCCTGAAAAGACCTCTTTCTTCCAAGCATTGAGTATACCAACTAAAATTTCCAAGGGTACTATTGAAATTATAGTAAGTATTTTTATTGAGTAATTTTTTGTTAGAGTTAATATTCTAATTTATTATTTTATGAGTTTCACTAATGTAACAATGTAATATCTAATTTCAGAATGATGTACACATCCTCAAGCCTGGTGACAAAGTGGGAGCTTCTGAAGCTACTCTCTTGAACATGTTGAACATTTCTCCATTTTCTTATGGATTATTAGTCGAACAGGTTTATGACTCTGGTACTATTTTTGCACCTGAGATTCTAGACATCAAGCCTGAAGATCTTCGTGAAAAATTCATGGCTGGAGTTGCAAACTTGGCTTCAGTTTGTTTGTCAATTGGTTATCCTACGGTCGCCAGTGCACCGCATAGTATTGCAAATGGCTTCAAAAATCTGTTGGCTATTGCTGCTGTTACTGACGTCGAATTCGCAGAAGCTGCTACTATCAAGGAATACATCAAGGTATGATTTCGTATATATTACATTATTATATTTTTTATTTCTTAAAACGAATAAAATGATGAAAACATTACGCGTCTGAAGATCTTGGTCCACGTATCAAAGCTAGAAATAGTTGAACCCATTGATGCGTCAAGATCATGGTTGAAATATCGCGTGAAAACGCAGTCTGAACATAATAAGCATGATATAATATAATATCTTTTTGTACACTATTAGTTGCATTTATTAAGAGAACTGGAATTGCTTATTTGTAGGATCCGAGCAAGTTTGTTGCTGCTGCCACCGCTGTAGCGGCTCCGGCAGCCGCAGCTGCCGACGCTGCTACGGAGAAGAAAGAAGAAAAGAAGGAGGAATCCGAGTCTGAGGACGATGACATGGGCTTCGGTTTATTTGATTAAAAATAAAAATATTTTTGATCGAATAAAATTTTAACAATTTAAAGTTCTATTCTTCATTATCATTAATGCATTATTGCATTATTGATAACTAATCTCAATATAAAATTTCTATTACAACAAAGACCCAAATTTATTTCCACACCCGCTATTTTTTTTCTTTTTGTGATTCTATGCTATAATATATAATATTATCTCACATTCGTGATAATGTTGGATTTGTTTTTACACGAGGGGACTTGATCGAAGTGAGATAATTGCATGATTATACAAATCTCGTACGTAAATTAAAATTAAAACAATGAAAGACAATATAATATACACGTATTTTTCATACATATCAATGTCCTAACTTTATGGTATCATTGGCAGCAAAATAAAAATTTTTATCATGTACGTTTTATCAGAAAGGTCTTTCTCGAAAGAAAAATTATCCAACAGTAAGAGTATGAAAAAATAGTGTAATATCGTAATTTTGTTATTCATATAGAGATAATACTGTTAAATAGCGTCAAAATCGATATGATATCGAAAATCTGAAGTATTATGTTGTCAAGGTAGTCTTGTGCTCTTATATTTCACATGTTAGAATTTCTGGGTCGATTGAAAAATATTACAGAATTCTAAGATAAGACTATCGGTATTAGTGATAGATTATCGATAATGCAGTAATCTGTAATATTAATGTACCGTACAAGCGACAGTTCCTCTAATCGTTCTTTCTAAATAGTTTGTGAGTGTATCACGAGAGGGAGAGAGGGTTACAATATAACTGAGCGTAATAATAATAAGGTGATTATAAAGCGTGGGGGCGTGGGGTGATAGTGAAGAATCTGTAGTGCAATGTGAGGATGACCTTGGTGATCCGCGAGACGCGAGTCCGCGACGCTCGAAAAAGCTCGTGATTCGCTCGATGCGATGCTTCACACATATTTGGTTGACTTGTACAAGTGGCAGAGTAGAGTAGGATGGCAAACTCTCACCACACTCTAGAATAGACAGGTGTCAAACATCGCGACAAGCGTACCTTGAGTAAGACGCGTGCGCGCGCGCTCGCTCTCGGAGTAATCTGCAATAAAAAGGTATTATATGACATAAAAATGTGATCAATGTATCAAAATTTATCGCGATATCATTGACAGAAGTATACACAATGATCTGCAATTACTGCAACGAATAGTAATATCGGCACAAGAAAAATATATTTATAATTCATGTCAGTGCGATCTATTTTTGTAACTACCTCTCTTTTGACGTAACAAATTGTGATTCTTGTAATATAAAATATGGCAGATGAGGGACCGTTTCGCACGGATTCCCTTATAAACATATGTTTCACAAAACGCGGTACTGTAGAAGCTGAAATATGTGCGCCCAATTACCGGCTTATTTACAAAGAGATTAGATAATTAGAAATTATCATAGTTTAATTTTTAAAATTTTTGTAGTAACAAAAAAAAAGCGCGAAAATGATACTGTTGCAACAATTTGCGGATTTGTTGAGCCTGATAACAATAGGCATGTGTTTCGTATTGAAAATTCCGCAGATATTAAAATTGGTTTCCGTGAAATCAGCCGACGAAATGTCCACCCTAGGATTATTCTTAGAATTGACGAGGTAATATTTCGCAACGACTGTAACTCTCTCATTTTACGCAAATAATCAATCAACGTTATTTCTCTTTTTTCAGTTATACTGTGATGACTAGTTACAATTACACAAATGGATACTCGGTGCTATCATACCTAGAGTATCCGATAATATTAATGCAAGAATATATATTGATATTTCTCGTATTGAAATATTTGAACAGGATCAACGTTTGGTCCTTTTTATGTGCCGTTATATACTTTGCGTTGAGCGCTTGTTTGCTGTTGGAAATTGTTCCGAAAATCGTACTTACACTTCTAGCGGTTAGTGTACGATGCTAAATACGTCGCAAATGATTTTTTTCTTACGAATATGAATATTTTACATTATTATTTTAAGACCGTCTTTCGTTAAAAATGCACATTTTACTTTTTAGCCTATGTGTACTCCGATCTCCGCTTCCAGTAAAATCGTTCAATTATTGGCTATACTTCGCGCTAGAAACGCAGAGTCGGTTTCGCCCCTCACCTGGTTTATATCTGCCTTCACGAACCTGAGTAAGTTCTCAGTTTTATGCGTGCAGCATAATTTGCGAAAATGTGAATCAAATATAATAAATATTATATTTCAGCGAGGGTGTTCACGATATGGTTGGACTCTGCCGATGTACTATTGCTGGGAAATTTTATCATCTCGGTGTTACTGAGCTCCAGCATCATGTTCTCCGCCCTTTACTACAGAAGTCGTCCGTTGAAGCAAGATTAAACGAACGGAAAATTGTATAAATAATAATCTAGTCGCAGGCGTATTCCGTGAGAAATCGACAATTCACACTATTATTATTAACAAACATACACGATGTGTATGTTTGTTAATAATAATCAAGGGAGATATATTCTATCTTATTCCCGATAATAAAACATAGAAATTGTTTTTCCTTCTGCATATGCTGGTTTATCTATTTGTTATATGAAAAGTACAATTTAAAAATTAAATACCAAAATTAATGATAAAGTATATTTTCTATTCACAAAACGATTGGTTCTGTTTTTATGAATTGGTTTGTGTTACAAGATAATGCCGAAAAGAAAGAGAAAGAGAGAGAGAACTATAAATTCTGCATATGCTGGTTTATCTATTTTGCCCATATTTTACAATATTTTAAGCAGAGAGAAATTAAAAAATATACACTCCAAACGCGTTTAATAGAGCTAATAACGCAGAGAGTTCTATTATTAATATATCTTGATTTTATATATATATATATATA